GTTTATGATTTCACCCTTTATGTGTAAATCATGTATCCATTTTGATCTTATCTTGGTATATGGTGTGAGATGTTGGTTTATACCTTGTTTCTGCGAAACTGTTTTCTAGTTTTCCCAGCAGTTTTTATCAAATAATGAGTTTTTGTCCCCAAAGCTTGGATCTTTGGTTTATCAAACAGTAGATTACTATAGTCATTTGAAACTGTGTATTATATAATATATTCCACTGATCCACCACTCTGTTTCTTAACCACTGGATCTGGTATGGCTTGGCTACCTTCCTTTGCCTTTTTTTTTCATTGATTCCCTTGATATTCCTGACCTTTGTTCTTCTAGATGAATTTTATTATTATTTTTCTAGCTCCATAAAACCATTTTTGGTAGTTTGATTGGTATGGCACTGAATAGATAGATTAATTTAGGTAGAATTGTTATTTTTGTCATGTTAGCTTGTTGTACCCATGAACAATTAATATTTTTCTAATTGTTTATATCTGGCTTTATTTGTATGGAAAGTGTTTTGTAATTGTGTTCATATAGTTCCTAGGTTGTCTTGGCAGGTAGACTGCTAAGTATTTTATATTTTCTACAGTTATTTTAAATGGAATTTCTCTTTCTATCTCTTGCTGCTGGAATTTGTTGGTGATACATAGAAATGCTGATGATTTATGTAGGTTTATTTAGTATCCTGCAACTTTGTTAAAGTTGTTAATTATTTCAAGTAGTTTTTTGGTTGATTCTCTAGGATTATCTAGGTATATCATAATGTCATCTGCAAAGACTGATAGTTTTGTTTCCTCATTGCTTATTCTAATTCCTTCAATTTCTTTTTCTACTCTTATCACTATAGCTAGCATTTCCAGTACAACATTGAGTAATAGCGGTGATAATGGGCATTCTTGCTTTGCCCCTGATTGTATTGGGAAGGCTTCTAGCTTATCCCCATGTAATGGGTTAATTTTAGAAATCCATCTCTGCTGCTAATCACAGATCTATTCTTTCCTCAAGGAATCTGGCTGACCTTGGAGAATGTGTGTGAACACAAAGAGAGTTAGGTTATCCTTCCAGCATGTCTGGCTTGCTGTCTAAAAGTCTGGGCTACTATCTTACACCTGGACTTAAACTTCTTAGTCTCATGAAAAAAGAAGGTTGTGGGGCAGGGGAGATTGCCAGCCCCTTTTACCATACTTCCAACCAACTGTGTTGTTTCCTGTGCCTCAGCTCTCTAACCAGTCATGTTATCCCCAATCCCATGATGTCATCTACCCTGTTCTATTCTTTGTTCTGTACTTCCCAAAACCTATAAAGGGGGAACTGTCCTTTTTCTCTGGGTCTTTGGCATAAATAGAGGCAAGCCATTTAACCATTTATTGGCAGTGTGCCTCAGGTAATAAAAGATTGTCTTGCTCAGAGAATGGTCTCATTTTACCCTTTTGTTAAATTTCAAATGCAACTGTGTCATCTTGGATTCCTTACTTCTCTTATCCGTCCCCGCAACAGCCGATCTGTTTCCAAGTCCTCCCCCTTTCTCTCCTCTGCCACCGCCACTTTTCTGGTGTTGGCTGTCATCACCTCATGCCTAGACTATTGCAAACATCCTTCTAGTTGGTATTTCTACCTCAAATTTTTCCCCAGCCCTGTCCATCCTTCACTCAGTTGATCTTCCTAAGACACATGGTGTCTGACCATGTCATTCCTGTTATTTAATAAACTCCAGTGACTCTCCGTCACCTCAAGAATCAAATATTAAATCCTTTGGCTTTTAAAGCTTTTTATAACTTGGATCCTTCCTACTTTCCAGTATCCTTTCATCTTACTCCCTTTCATGTAGTAGTCTTCTGAGTGACATTATCTATATTGCTCTTCCTCATATAAGACACTGTATCTCCCAATTCTGTTTCCACTATTTGTTCTCCATGCCTGGAATTCTCTCCTTCCTTATCTCCATCTCCCAACTTCCTTGACTTCCTTCAATTCCCAGCTAAAATCGCACCTTCTACAAGAAGCCTTTTCCTACCCACCCTGTCCCACCCTCCAGTGCTAGTGCTTTCCCTCTATTGATTATCTCTAATTTATACAGTATATATCTTCTATGTACTTTAATTGTTTAAAATCCTTTTGAGAGTAAGGCCTGTCTTTTGTCTTTCTTTGTATCCTCAGTGCTTAATACAGTGCCTGGCATATAAATACTTTGTTGACTGGACTTACAGTATCCCTGGGGGAGGACACAGCAACAGTGAAAAAGAAAAAATGAAAGACTGAAATACCATATTTTTATGTGGTCACAAAGGCGGCCTCTTCTCTCTTAGATTAAACAGAGAGAACTGGTTTGTGATTTTCATTGTACAGTTAGCTCTAAGATGAGGAAACACATTTAGAGAAGTGCCTAGGACTCCATAAGACATTTTTAGGAGGTCCTTGAGGTCAAAACTATTTTCGTAATAATATTAAGCTATTATTTGCCTATTAAAATACTTCTCTCTTTTCAAACTACAAATCTTCATATGTGAGGGCAGATTTTTATTTCAACCAAAACAACATATTGAATACAGAAGCAGATGAAAATCCAGTTGTTTCAGTTAGGCAGACATTAAATAGATTTGCAAAAATATATAAAATGATGCTACATTTATAGGTCTTTTGTTTAGGAAAATAGTTATTTTTCATAAAAATTGTTATTTCTGTTAGATGTAATGGGTTTATTGCTATCATTTTAAGATGAATAAAAGTTTTAAAAATTATTAATTTCAAATTCAAATACTATAAATATCTTCAGATATCACCCACATAAAAGTTTTATTAAATCCTCAGTGATTTTTATGAGTATAAAGAGAGACCCTCAATAATTTTTAAGAGTATAAAGGGGTGCTGAGACCAAAAAGTTTGAGAACCAATAACCTAGAGTACTGAAAATGTAAAAACTTGTCTAGGGTCACACAACCAGTAGGCATCTCAGCCAGAACCAGCGCCCAGGTCTTTCTGACTTCAGGGCCAGGTCTCTTATCTACTACACCACACTGCAAATTACAGATTGAGACTGCTTTCTGAGCTTTACCAGAACTAATTCAAATAAGTGCTGATCATTTCAAAACTTTATTAGACTATGCATTTATTCTAATGATGCTTTCTTTGCTCAAAATATTTTTTGGAATTATTTTTGCAACATATAGTTCATTTTCCTCAATATTGTCATTTTTGGCAAATCTTCATCTTTTGTGAAGGAAGATATGATGAGTCACTCAAAGTCTCTCTGAAGCCAGATTTGATAGATAAGATGGGTGAGATCAAGTTTAACAATTCCATTTCCCCCCCCCAACACAAGGTGTGGTTATAAAGTTTAAAACCATTTGTGTGTGTGTGTGTGTGTGTGTGTGTATGTATCTTAAAACTGTCACTAAAGGCAACCCTAATTTTCAAGAGTATTTTGAGTAATAATAGAAGCTTCTCCATATTGAAAGAAACAAAAGAAATCAGATTAGTTGCATTAGAAAATTCTGAATGACAGTGGAAAAATAATCTCTTTTCTTATCATAAAGATTTCTTAATTAGTGTTTATCACAAACTATTTCCCAAAGTTGAAATTTTGTATTATAATTGATGGTGAGCCAGGTCTTCTGACTCCTTGATTAAATGTGACATGTAGGAAAGCTCTTTAGTATTTGAAATCAGAGAACCTGAATTCAAGTTTCAGCATTGTGAATGATTACTGTCTGTGTAACATTAGGCAACTCACTTCCCCTTTCCTGGCCTCAGTTTCCCTACTGGCATAATGAGGTGTTTGAACTAGATGACAAAGGTCTTGCCTAGTTTGAACTCCTATGATTCTAGATAATGTGTAGAAGTTGCTTTGCAAACTCTATAGTATTACAGAAATGGCAACTGTCATGGTGATGATGAAGATGATAAGAAAATCAAACATCGATTTGGTATTTTATGTTGGATTACACTTTGTAGTTGATTCCATTCTGTAACTCTGTTCTGTATTTTATAAAATAACCTAAGCCAGGGGTGGGGAACTGGAAGCCTTGAAGTCACATATGGCCTTGTAGTGCAGCCTTTTGACTGGATCCAAATTTTATAGAACAAATCAAAAATTTGGATTCAGTCAAAAGGCCATACTTAAGGATTTAGAAGCCACATTGTTAGGGATCTATAAGGATGTAGAGGGCCACAGGCTGTTCAAGAGGTCTCACTGATGAGTGCAGGCCTCTCTTGGGTGATGATCTTTGAGCAAAGGTCGCCTGGTTTGGTACTCCATTGTATGGATCTTTAACAATCTTTAACTCCCCTAGTTATTGTATGGTCATTAGCAGTCTATTCTGGGATTGGAGTCAGATAAGTGCACAGGATGTGCATGCACTGTCCTTGAGCACAGCATGGGCTATAGTCATTGTAACTTGAGAAAGAGTTCCTGTTATTTTACTATATAAGTAAGGGCTTTGCTAAAAATAAACGGAGTTGCTTCCATCTTGTCTCCCGCCTCATCACTGCGCATTCGAGATAGAAAATCAAGCTGGTCTTGATTCATCAGGTGATTGGGAAATCCTAGGCCCTAGGTAGGTTCTATAGCCAAGTGAACTAGTTGTGCACAACACCACATGTGGCCTTGGGCCACAGGTTCCCCACCCCTGACTTATGCCCTTTTCTCTGACTCTGGATGAAGAAGTTCATAAGTTCAAAAGTTCTGTCTTCCTTTCTTAAGTTAGATGCAAAAGTTTAGTTTTCCTATTGATCACTTTTAATTAAAGAAAACTCTGAGCTAAGCTTAGAGGTTCAGCACTCTCATAAAACATTTTAATTTTAAGGGAATTATTATCTTACCACCACCTACTTAGAATTTTTATATCAAGGAAACTAGGTATCCTTTGTAACTTCAACTCTGGAAAAACTCTATGACTTCTGTGTACTATCCTTGAAGGCCTGCAAGCTAACCTGGTGCATTTCCACAAGATATACCATCCACCCTTGCCCAATTACAAATAGTCTCATTTCTCTCCTAGGAGCCAGGGAGTCTGCTACTCTTGGTCTACTGTCAAAGGCCTCAGGATACAGATGGGTCCTATAAATCAATCAAGCATTCCTCTAAGACAGAGAGTGATAATTGTTGGCCCCAGGTGAGTGTTAGCTTGGTTTCCTTAATGTAACCAATCATGTTGTCCCCACCCCCGTGGTGCTGCCAACATTATAGTCAATTGTTTTATTTTCCTCACCTATCCTGTTCTGTTCTTTGTTCTATGCTTATAAAAGCCCTCCTCCTCAGGGTCTTTTGGCCTGCGGTAGCCATTTGACCCACTTTATTAACAGATTGGTGGACTGCTAATAAATTTATCTTGCTGGAAGAAAATGTGCCATGAACTTCACTCATGATAGTTGGGACATTTAACAAATATCTGGCACTATTATGTGCCAGCCACTGTGCGAGGTTCTAGGGATAAAAAGAAAAAAGTGAAACAGTTCCTGTGCTCAAGGAACTGATAGACTAGTTGGGTGAGAAACATGCACATATGTAGGTATATTCAAAATAGATACAAGGTAATTCTAGTACAAAGGCACTCACAGATGGGTGGATCAGAATGTGAGCTAAGCCTTGAGAGAAACCAGGGAACGAAACCAGAAGGGAATGAATTTTCGGCCTGGGGGATAATGACCATCATAGAACTGTTGTGTTTGAAGAACAGCAAGGCCTATTTGATTGAACTGTGGTGAATGGGGAGTATTGTATAACAAGTTTGGAATTGTAGGCTGGGCCAGGTTGAAAAGGATTTTAAAATCCAAACAAGAGTTTATATTTGATCCTTTAAGTAATATACTGAAGAAGGGAGCAAAGGAGTTTATTGAATAGGGGACTGACATCATCAGACTGCCTTTTTACTAGGGTTTGGTCCACTACACTCTGATGCCATGATTATTAAGGTTATTCCCACCCTTGAGATTTTGATTCAATAGTAACTTCTTGATATTTTAATAGATTCACAATCTCATTTGCACATGCAAATATTCCATTGGTACAGATTTCAAACCATCCATTGCTTCTCATTATACGTGACTACTATCCATGTTCTTCTATAAATCCTCCATAGAGGATCTACCTAAGGAGGCCTTTGCAGGCTCATAAAAAGTGGTTTGAGTGGTATGGTCCTAGCTCTTTGCTGTTTAACACCCCACCCCCTCCGCCCCCATGTATATATGCCAAGGCCATAAACTTAGGGGCTGGGCATTTCTCTAACCCTGATCACTACCCCTATTTTTAACCTCTTGCTCTGAACTCCTCTATCACCTTCTCCCTTCTCTTCCCCCCTCCCACTTTACTGCTTTCTGTCTGTTGTCGTCCCCATATTAGATTGTAAGGTCCTACAAGGCAGGAACTGCCTTTTGCCTTTCCTTGTTTCCTCTATGCTAAGCACAATGCAGACACTTAAATGTTTTATCGTTTGGTACACTTAGGGTTAAATTCCCTACACTCCAGCCCCTCATTCTTCACTCCTTATCAGGCAGTTTAGAAAATACTCTTACTTTAATGATTCCTGAATAGGTATCATACTGGCTCTTTGTCTAAAACTCTTATGCCCTAAAGGATAGCTGGAGTGTGTATTCCTCACTTCCTCCCCCAGTGTACTAGGAACATAAAGGTCACACATTGACATTGTCCCTGATAGTAGCTGTTCTCCTCCCTTGTGATTAGCAGTAAACTTTGTTAAAACCTATCTCTGTGTGGCTGTCATTTCTCATTGGAACTCCCTTGTACTACAAAAGTGGTGGCTACAATGGGATATGAATAGCACATTTGGCCAGATCACTTTTCAAAGAAAGAAGGGGGGAAGGGAAGTGTCACAGGGACAGGAATCTTCCCAGTGGAGCCTGATGACCAGGGAGGCTTTCTGTTACAAAGGCATTCGGTGATCAAGAGAGCTTTCCTCACATCCTTGTCAGGATATGGAATGATCAATTGCTCTGGAACAATTAACATCAGGGAAGACAAGAATATTCCTTAGCTGCTACTCATAAAAGAGAAGTTCTCACCCAGAAGGGGAACAAAGCAACAGAATTAGACTTGCTAAAAACAAACAAACAAACAAACAAAAACCAGAATCTGCCCAATAACCACTACTACCCAGATGCAAAATGTTAGGCTGTAGACAGATGGCTAAATAGTGTGAGGGTACTTACTAGCATTTGAGACAAGCAGAAAAATCATAGGAATGTAGTAGTATAGGGGGCAGCTAGGTGGTGCAGTGGATAGAGTACCAGCCCTGGAGTCAGGAGGACCTGAGTTCAAATCTGGTCGCAGACACATAACACTCAATAGCTGTGTGACTCTGGGTAAGTCACTTAACCCCAATTGCATCACCAAAAAAAAATAGTATGGAAAGTTCACATTATTGATATCAATGTCTGAACAATTCGTACTGTGGAAGATGAATGAATTGTTCTAGAGGCCTTATCCATTGACTTCCCTTCAGACTAACACAATGGCTAACCAGAGGGGAGAGCATGGACAACAAACTGCCCTATTAGAATAGATTTACATGGTCATTAAAGAAACATTAATTTGGGGGGATTTCCCAGTTGCTCCAGGCTAGTGGTTGTCTACCCACATAGAAGCAACTTCTATCCTGAGACAGGAGACAGGCATTCCTAGCTTTATGATATTGGGAATGAATGTAAGTACACAATTGTAGTGATACTGCAGTGAGTTGTAGTTCCAGTCATTCAAATGAACTGTAGTGGCAACTTCCACTGAAGACTGTCATAGACATATGCCTGTTGAATTGCTTTCCAGGGACAGACTGACCACAGATGGCCACAGTCCACCATCACTGCCTATTGCCTACTAGCTGTGGGGCAGGTAGCAGCTTATAATTAATCTCCCTCTCCCTTCAACCCAGTTGTCCTTCTCCATCAAAGTGGTTCCACTCAAGCAGTATAGAATTCCAGACAGGGAAGATCATTGCCTTAATAAAAACAAAAAAACAAACAATTAGATGTTGGAGGCATACTCCAGACTGTCTCTCATTTCAATAGTCCAGTGTGGCCAATCAGAAAAGCTGATGACACATGGGTGACTAACTATTGACTATTGGATGCTAAACCAAGTTATAGATACTGCTGCCCCGGCTGTGCCAGATCACAACAGGCTATGATTGAAATTCTGATGGCCATACCTGGTGAATGGTATGCTATGGCAGAAATGGCTAATGCCCTATTTCCCTTAAAGTCATCTGACCAAACCTAATTTGATTTTACTTGGCAGGGAATACAGTGCACTTTTACCGTCCTGCCTCAAGGATATTTGAATAATCCTGCCATTTGCCACCAATGGGTAGGGTGGACAGTGGCCAAGCTCCAACTTGACTCTGACACTATTACCCTTTACTATATTGATATTATTATAGCAGGAACAACTGAGGCAAAGTGGACACTGCCCCCTGAGGGTCCATTGGAACAAAATAGCCACATCTTTGATCTTTCCATTACCTGTGTGTTACACTTCTATGTTCATGAACTCCAAATTCCTTTATGATCTTTTATTCCATCTTTTACGTCTTTTAGCCCTGTCCCTCCTCACTATAACTTCCAATCTTTCTTTTCCAGGCCATCATCTCTGAACTGGCTATTGTAATCCCTTCCTTATTTTGACCCCTTGGTGAACCAGTTCAATTTTATACTCTACACTAGAGTCCTTTGCCCCCTTGTCCTATTTCTAATTATGCCTTGCCTAAGCCTAGCCTCAGATCACTCCCAATAACGGCAATCTTCTCTTTTATTCAAAATGCTGAAGAGAAAATCACAAAACTGTGTTGTGCCCACTATAAATTTATGTCATTATAATTTAAATTGAATCCTTATTTCATTAAGATGATCTTTTTATATATCTCCACAATAAAGTTGATATCCTATTCACCTCAGTGGCTATTTTAAACCTTTTTTTTTTTTCTAGGCAATTGGGGTTAAGTGACTTGCCCATGGTCACACAGCTAGTGTCAAGTGTTTGGTCTGAGGCCAGATTTGAACTCAGGTCCTCCTGACTTCAGGGCCAGTGCTCCATCCACTGCGCCACCTAGCTGCCTCCCTGTTTCCTTTCATTGGACCTTTATCCAGGTCATGTTTGCTAAAGGTCAGTGTCCCCCCTGAGCTCTCTTTTGGGCCCTCTTTTCTCCTCCCTGCATACCGGGGCCTTGAGGCCACATGTGGCCTTCCAGATCCTTAAGTATGGCCTCTTGACTGAATCCAAATTTTACAAAACAAATCCTTTTAATAAGATAATAATAAAAAATAATAAATTTGTTCTGTAAAATTTAGATTCAGTCAAGAGGCCACACTTAAGGATCTGAAAGGCCACATGTGGCCTCAAGGCTGCAGTTTCCCCACCCCTGCTCTATACTATTTCCCTTGGTGATCTCATTAGCTCTCACTGTTTCAATTGTGTTGCTGATTCTCAGATTATTCAGATCTTGACTTCAACTGCCTATTAGACATCTTGAACTAAATGTCCATTAGACATATTAAACCCACATGTCTGAAACTAAATTCATTCTTTTTCTCCCCAAACCCTCTACCTCTTCTGAACTTCCATATTAGTTAAGGGTGCCACCATACTCCAATCATCCAGGCTCAAAATACAGGTGTCATCTTTGACTCCTCTTTCTTTTACTTCCCATATCCAATTTGTTGCCAAGGACTGTTTTTATTTTTATAACATCTCTTGCATATGTCCCCTTTTCCCCTCTGACACTGCCAGCGGTGGCAGTGCTACCTGGTTCAGGCTCTTGTTACCTCATGCCTGAACTGTTGCAATAATAGCCTACTGGTTGTTCTCCCTGCCTCAAGTCTCTCCCTCTTTCCATCCTCCACTGTTGTCAAATTAATCTTCCTAAAGCACAGATCTGACCATATCTCCCTCACCCAACTCAATAAATTCCAGTGGTTCCCTATACCATGAGGGGTTTGTCTTGGCAAAGAGAAAGACCACCTCTTCATGTGAAATGAGTGACAGAGGTGAGCTTCTTGAGAATAGGGAAGATGTGTTTGTCTTTCTTTGTATCTCCAGCACTTAGCACAGTGCATGGCACATCATATTTGGATAAAAGCTTGTTTGATCAAATAATCAAAAACCTTTAAAGCTGTGTTTTACTCTACTAAATTGAATGCTTATTTGTAAATGCACACAATAGTATCTTGCATTTCCTATGTTTCAGCTGTATGACTATGAAGATATGGTTTGCTATAGAAAAACTGGCCACAAGAGTCTATCTGTTCCCCTCCTAAAGCTGTCATTAGGGATTCACTGGATGTGTGTACATCATTTTCAATCATCTTATAGAGGTGAGAAAGGTATATGGTTGTTAGTTGCTTGTGTTTTCTTGGACATTTAAAAAAATTGGTGATACCTTTTCAATTCTTCTGTAACCTTTCCCTCCTTTGAGAGATTTAAAAAAATTAATTCCTACATACATTTAAAAATTGTTTCAACTGCCAGCACAGATTTGTTATTCTTCCTGAATTCATCTCTTAAATTAACTTGTCTATTTTTGGTGGTAGAGTCCAAAAGTGGTGGTTTTGTCATTAATGATGAGACTAGATCATTTAGAAATACTGCAAATTTTTTCCATTTCACATCTATTTGTTATCCTTCCAGTTTTAGCTATGTATGTAGTCTCACACTATGCTTGGCTTCCTTTCTGCTGTTCAAGGCTTTTTAGGGCATACTGATTGTAATTTTATCAACCTCATCCAAAACATTTTACAAATGGGATTGAGCTCTAAACCAAACTGCCCTTAGCCACTATGCCTCTGTTCAATAAAAAAACAAGTATTTGCTTACTATGGTGACTTATGGAGTCTCAGTCTTATTTGAACTGTTCTAAGAATGGTTAAACTTCATGAGGATTATGGCAACAGATTTCCTTTTTTATGTAGAAAAATGCAGAATGTTATATACAGCTACTGCATAGTTTTACAGTTAGCATTCAGTTTTCTTCCTATAAGGTACTATGAAGGATTATTTAGAAGTGGTTACAGAGTAAAAATATACTAATAAAGTATTTTAAAATGATGATAATCAGAGTAAATTTCCTTTTGTTTGTTATTTTTTCAGAGTTTGAAGACTGTTTCTATAGGTTGGGGTTTTGCAAACTGGGCAGCTAGGTAATGCAGTGGATAGAATGCTGTGCTGGGCCTGGAGTCAGGAACACAAGTTAAAATTTGGTCTCAGATGATACTAGCTATGTGACTCCAGGCAAGTCACACTAACCTGTTTTCTCATCTGCAAAATAGGGATGATAATAGCACCTATCTCCCATGGTGGTTATGAGGATCAAATGTTAATAATTATAAAGCACTTAGCACAGCACATGGAATGTAGTGCTATGTAAATATTAGCTATTTATTCTAACTGTACACAAGGTACCCCAGCTTTATCCTTTCTTCTACTCTGGTGATGATTCTGACTGTTCCTCTTCATAATCTGTGATTTAACTTTCCAGTCAACGATATGACTCCCAGTGATCATTTGCTGTTCAATCAAGTTCTATTGTTTGGAAAGTATTGTTTGTTAAGAGTAAATGTGTGACCAAATTAATGAATTCTTTAAATTCAGAATTCTACTAAGTGAATTTATTTTAAGTGAGAGATTCTTTATAATGAAAGATTACCTTTCAGAAAACAGTAAAAATGGAAAACTATTAAACAGCAGGAAATATTGGTAGACATTTCCAAATCTTATCATACAAAGGAACATAGTAAACTGAGGAATAAGTGCCACTGCATAACCTATACAGCTTTCTTCAACAAGCTGCTTTATTACAGCAGAAATTTTACTCTAAATGCACAGGGCTTGAAGAAACTGCATATAAGCTTTTAAAATAACTAAGCAAATGTGAAATAAGACCCTTCAAATACAGATTTCAGTAACACACAGTTTACATACAGCAATAATTTATTCTAAATTGTTCATTTAGTTTCTGTTGAGACATAACCCACGTCTCATTAATAAAAGAGCAGCCATCTCACCTCAAATACCAGAATATACAACAAGTTACAGCATAGCAAAAATTAATTCTACCTACTTTCAGATAAAATCTAATTCAGGTAAAATAATTTCATTCAAGGTTTTACTGTTACACAGATTTCCTTTTTTTAAGAGCACAAACTAGTGTAAATTTTTACACCATAGCTATCTATGCACATTATGTGACCACAGAACTGTTAATCATTACTTCAGAAATTGAACCATCAGTTTCATTCATGCAGAAGAGCAAGCTGGGAAAATTTGTTCATTTGGAACCATATTACTGTGAATTTCACAGTCACATGATTAATTTTTGGATTAGATGGACTCTTGAGTATACTAAACTGAGTTTTTTTTGCATAAATAATACCAATTTTTCCCTGATGTAACTTTAGTCATTTTATAATCTAGAAATGATTGATACATAGCAATATATTGTACCCTCTATCTGTAGTGTCCATTATTTTAAGACAAGCAATAATTAAAGGATCATGGTATGGGATGCTACTTAAATACATGTAAAACATACTGTACAAATATACTTGCTTTACCAATTTTTCTCTATCAAGTGTCCCTCCAAAATATGACCAGTGAAGACAAAGTATACTATTAAATATGGCTTCCAGAACAAAGACCCTCTAGCAAGAATCAATCTATTTACAAAAAAATTCTTATTTTTTAAAGTTTCATTTGAAACAAAATTTCTACATAGCGGTTGTAGATAATACATAATTTTCTTTGTTTCACCATTTTAGTTCTTTTAAACAGAAGTTACCAGGTAAGATCCAGAATGGCGCTTTGGGCTTTGAGCTCCACTAGCTTCTGTGTTTTCAGTTTTTGAATCTCGTTTTTTTGTGCTGCTGTTTACTGGTGTGGGGATCTGTGATGGGCGGGCTGAACTGCTATCTGCACTGCTTTTCCTAGGACTTGGATTGTAATTGAAAGGAGTCACCCTGGCAGCAACAGTTCCACTAGGCGAACTGTGCTTGCTTGAGTTAGTGGAACTGAATGGTGTACGCTCAGCAATAGAACTTTCACTAGTCTCTGGTGTAGGAACAAGATTACCTTGTCCTGATTTCGTCTCAGTAGCCTTTTTGTCTGGGCTATCTATCTGAATAAAAGAATTCAGACGGTTTTCTAAGCCTACAGTGCGAGCAGGAGCACTGCTGCCATTACCCCCACTTGGTTTTCCCTGATTATCTTTTGAATCTTTATTACTAGAATTAACCTTCTCTGAAACAGTGTCAATCACTGGGGGTGTATTTCCAGTAGGTGATCTTCCTGATCTAGGGTTATTAATGGGACAATCCTCAATTCTTACCCACACATCTTCTGTCTTGGAGACAGCAGGTGCCATTTGATAAATTAAAGTCTTTGAATCGGCACCATTTGTAGCACCTGAGGAAGTAACCTGGGAAACACTACTTATAGGAGTCATTTCATTTTCTTTTATTTTTCTCCAAGTTCCTTTTGCTGGCCCTTGGTTTTCTTTAGTCTGTTTTGTTCCCAGAAATGAGCTCACATGTTTTTCATCTTCACTTTTTGCCTTTTCACTGGATTCTGATGAAGCAGAGAGAATTGAGGAGGAACTTCCAGTTCTTCTCCAAGTGCTTACACGAGGAAGTGATGATGAATGCTTACTATGTTCACGCTTCCAAGTTCCTGATCTATTAATTGGAAGTCTAGAAGGACTCTCAGAATGCGAGCGAGCTATATCATGGCGCTTTGTTGATCTTCCATCACTAAACTCTACAGAAGGATTAAGATTAGGTGGGAGTTTTCGCCAACCACCAGTCTGAATAGATGAATGTGTGGATAAAGACATATCTGGAAGGGATGGACTTAAAACTGGAGTCTGTACCTGGGATCTAGTAGGAGAATCTGGTCTAGAAGATGAAGATAAAGATTCAAATGATGCAGATTCTTCCAATTTTCTCCTTAGTGTTGGGCTTGGAGTTTCTTTGATGAAAGTTGACTGACGCACTAAAACAGGTCTTTCTGATCTGTCAGATTCACTTCCACTAGATTTGGTTGAAGACATTCTAGAAAGTTCAACTTTTTTATTAGTTCCATTGCTATTAGTTATCTGATTTAGTCCTTTGGAAGCAGATTCACTTCTGGGTATATTACTAGCATTCTTGGATAAACCTGCTTGCTTATTAAGGTTCTGCTGGCTCATCTGTCTTCCTGGAGATGTATATGACATTTTCCCTGAACCTGAGGACTTAGTTGAAGCAGTACTGGGGGATGATGTCCGTGGCAGCTGAGACAATTTGTTAGGAGGACTTATTCCATTTCTACCAGGAGAAATTGAGTTTCGTCCCGGGGACTGCATAGGTCTACTCATGGTTGCTGAGATGGTCTTGAAGGAGTTGAATCTCTAGATCCTGATCTAGAAGGTCCTTTACTTGAACCACCTGGTTGGGATGTCTGCCTGGTCAAAGGACTTAATTCTGATTTCACTGAGGGCTTAGCTCCCCTAGGAGAAGTACTAGATGCTGGACCCTCACTGGGGCTTTTGGAAGCTGGGGTTTTGAGGGATGGGCCCTTTTTGGAAACTGGACTTGTACTTGAAGAGCTATTTCGGATTCCTGGAATGTGAATCATTGTCCTTCCTCGAGAAATTGAAGGCATATTTGTTTGCAGGGGTTGTTTCAACTGGCTTGAAACTTCTGAATTAGAACGAACTTTTCCAGTGATCAAACTTTTATAAACTTTCTTTCCTCCTTTGATTCCTTTATTTTCAGACTCTATTTTCTTAGTTTCTAATGTACTTTTCTCCCCAGGCTTTAGAATTCGTGGACCTTTATTACTTGTAAAGGGTTTCTCTTCTTGATCAGGCGTAAGATGAAATGGTGATCCTAGAGAGATACCTGATTTTAGTGAAAGAATGGAATCAGAATCAGATGAAGCTTGTCTAGATAAACAAGCAGCAGCAGCAGCAGCTTGATGTAAACTACTCACTATAGAATTTGCACCTTCTTGAATAGCTTTCCAATCAAAGTTCTCTGAATCAGGAGAAAAACCATGCTCTGAATCTGGTCTCTGTATATCTCTCAAATCTAATGTCAAATCTTCTGCTAATATACCATCCATGTTTCTAGGACTAGGCTTTTCATCATCACCTTTGAACCTTGATGGCCTTTTCTTTTTTGGCATTGCAGAACTAATACATTCCTGCAAAAGGTCATCTTCAGAATCTATGCTAAGAGAACTAAGTGAACTGTTTCTTGAAAAACACACTGGGGTATCTTCAACATGGAATGACTTAGGAGCATAACCTGATGTCTGAGGTCTATTTGGTTCTACCTGTGAG